TGAAGTGTCAAAAGTGAGAAACTCTCCTTTATTTGGTCTTGTTTTCCAAACCACGTGGACCCAAAATGTGCGTCTACCCTTGTTCTCCCTCAAATATATTCGTTTTTCTCCTTCGCTGTCTAGACAAGTCACCAAGGCCAAGTAACACTCGCTAAAATGTTTAAACATTTATTCAAATCTCCGCTGCAATACTGCTTGCCCTTAGATTTGCGAATGGCAACTGTAGAACTATGACCTATGACCCTACTAATCGTCTATCGGAGCTAAAAATCGTAACGAAAACTGAAACGTGTATGACATTTGTGCCTTCCCCTTTCCGATCCGGCACCGATCCGATTGTTTGGGTTAGTTAGAGGGTGGGATCGACGGAAGGTACAATGATCGGAGTCGGATTGGATAAATGTGTCCCGGCCGTTTAATTATCCGCCAATATTAATTAACAGCCAATATCCGTGAAGTTATCCGAAAAGTCATTCAAAATTACCTCAAAAGGATTGAGGCCTGTAGGAGGTCCCGTGGCGGAAATTTAAATTATATTAGAGAGTTTTTAGGCCCCTTAAAATTACGTTGGCCTTAAACGCTAAACGTTATTCTGATCATGCGCAGTGTTAAAATAAAAGGTGTTCAGGCAAATAACGTTAAGTGCGTTTTTTAGTTTTTGACACCGCGTTTGTCGCACTCTTAATAAAATAAACCTCACTTTATTGTTTTCTTATCCCGTGTTGTTTGGAAAAGTTTCAAAGCTAGTTTAAGTTTGTATTACTATTAAACAAAAAGTGGCTAAGATGGAAGAGAACATTGAAGCTGCCTTTCTGCGCCGGAAGAGGCTTAATTTTACACGATATCTTGGGCCAACCTGTTGTTGCAAATCAAAGAGCTATTTTTAAGTTAGAAAATATTGAGCCCAGAGATTGCTTTATCAATTTTAGGTTTAGAAGGAACATGTTCCGCGGCTCGTTCAATGTCTCCGAATACCAGAAAAAAACGCTATCTTTTTCCTACCACATCCATTTCACTATTGGTTAACGGAACTGAAAACGGAAAATAAACGGTTATGAAATAGAAGTTAGAACCTGTCCGTGCAATGTTAGTAGTGTTAACAAAGTTCAAATTTATCAAAAGAGATAGATTTTCGAGGCCATTCCTTCAAACTAATGGGTTTTTCGGGTTTTTAGGCCGTCGTTGGGTAGCATTGCTTCTTGACGTTTCGCAAGTACGAGTGGCTTGCATCTTCAGAAGTGGTTTGTTTGAAGGCTTACACTGTTCTGATGCGATTCTGCGGTCGCAGTCCGTATTTAAAAAAAGTTCAAATTTGCCCAAATAATTTTCACTGAAAATCCGTAATTACGCAATAATTGCGTAAATTGGTCAATAAAAAGGTCTTATTTAAATTTACAACACATTTTTTTTCTTATTCTATTATAGCCGATTATTTTATTAATAATATTAGAAATAAGTCAAATACGCCAACACCGTCGTTCTGCTTTTTAACGTGATGCTTATTAACGTTACCGCTACTCCTACGTATATAAAGGAACACGTTATCCTCTATTACGGTTATTTCTTGACTATTGCGCATTCTCAGAATAACGGATAACGTAAAGCGTGTTGCAATTAAGGGGCCAAAAACTCCCTATTGTTTTTCAAGTATAATGGTAAGGTTTAATCTTATATTGAATTAACATTTTCGTCTCGATCTGAATATTTTGTGCGTTTTTCTTACTTTATTATCCCAAGCATAAAATGGATAATCATGTCGAGGTCTGTTTTTATCTTTATTAAATTAATAAGTTATCAGCCGTACGTTAAGGCATATTTTCAAAATTGAAACCATTTTACTAACTTTACATGGTAATTAATGTAAACGTAATTTTTTCCGCCGATTTCCCAAGCTAAGGCGTTTGTTTATGCAGCGACAGTCATTCTGATGATAATTCAAATCATATTTAATAATTGTATCTTCGATTGCAATACAGTTCACTGGGGGCTTTGAAAGATTCCAAATAGGTCATTACTTTGCCGGGGTTAAACAAACGATACTTGTTTATAATCCGCTAACGAGCCTAATATATACACATCCAAGTCAAAGCTACCAGATTACAGTTTGTGCGACAAAGTGGGATACCTAGTATCTGAATAAGAAATTAAACGACTATTAATTAAATAACTGCAAAACAAACAAGATAGTTTATTAAATTAATTTTGTGGAAGGAGTTGAATAGCCGGATACTATAACTTTGGTAATGCCGGAATAAATCTTAATCGGCAAAATCAGAATTTGTCTTGCGACAATTGAGTAAAATTTAATACAAATCCTCTGCCTGATTAAGCCATCATTATTATCTATCTTTATACTACGGATCGTCGGTATTTAACGTAACCGCTCATATAACAGTGTTCCAGACACCTGTTGTAACCTGGAACCGCAGTTACACTTACACAGCCAATTTAACCGGTTGTTTTTGGAACCGTCTAATAATCCCGAAAAAGTGGTTTGCACCAGCACAAAACCGATTCAACACAGAAGTTTCAGCAACCATTTGTCAACGGAAAGTATGTTTAGTTGTGCCACAGCATAAAAATTATATATTGCACCGTGGATGGCCGAGAATCAAACCCTTTCTTCAGCTTCCAACTTTTATTCACTTCGGTATAACTTTAAATGCGGAACAGGAACAAACTAACTTCAAAATTACCGTCAACTTCACAAACGATAACAATAACACACGGAAAACTCGCTTCTGCACCGGGTCGCTCCTGTCACTTCACTTCCCCTATGTGGTTCTCGTCGTCGCTTATATAATTTCCTCCAGGTAACCCAGATGGTTCTCGAAATCTCCAGAACAGGTGCGAAACTTCCCGCTTGTCAGTGTCATATTTGACAGTAAATGGGGCCCAAATGGGGCTCCCATTTACTGAAATATCATTAATTTCGATCCCCCATTCCAAACGTGAGTATCCCAGGCCATTTCCGTTACAATATGTATATATATTATATATTATATAGTCTGTATGATGCGGTTGTGCGTTGCGTTGATGATTGTCAGATCAGCGAAATATTGTTTAGTTTCGGTCATGACTATAATTCAGCATTTTTAGGCTATAAATATAACTGTTAATGTTGATGAGGCTGGAGACTGGGAACCTGAAGGCGTAGGACGCTGTAAACCGGATATATGCAGGGTGTCCCACCGGGAACCGCCGCCACAGATATTTGCCAGATATGCCAACTTGCTTATTTTAAATGGAACACCCTATACATTATTATATGTTTGAATTCTTCTCCATATTCTAAATATATTTCATTTACAATATTCTATAGTTGTCTAACCGTTTTTAATATATTTAAAATTTCATGTCAAAAATGACAGTTGCTGCTACTCAAATATTTACTCATTTTTCCCAGAAGGAAATATGTTCTACTTAATTTGAGTCGCATTTCTTGTTGAACGACTTACTGTAATGGCATTTCTACAAAATTTTGATAACTATTAATACAAAGTGTAACAAAAATAAGTTTCAAAATGACGTTGAGAAAACGGCCCAAAATCATTTTTTTCAAATGGAAACCCCAATATCATACATGAAATATATTTACAATTTGGAATAAAATCCAACAATGTAATAATATATGTATAGGGTGTTCCATTTAAAATAAGCAAGAAACACGCCTACTTCCGGTACATATCCGGAAGTGTGCCATCTTGAAAATATTTTAGATTGCTTGTTCCCAATGACAATGGGCACACTGTCCAATTTTCAAATTTATCCTAATTACAGTTTGTCAGGTATCGATCGCGGTGGTTCCCGGTTGGACACCGTGTATATATAACAAATTTTTGATGTAAGAGCTTTGATCAAGATCCCACCAGACAAGAAGAAGACCCCCAAATATGTCGAAAAGTTAAACATAGAGTCTTTAGAAGACCAAACTGCAAAGTGGCTTTACAAAGAACGACTAGAAGAAAGATTCAAGATAAGTCCATTTAAAAAAAATGGTGTGCGTCACGGGACGCTTGGCAAAAGTGATAAGTTATAGAAAAAATATAAATAATTAAATCATGTAGTTATAGAAACCATAGAAAACATAATATCGAACTTGTTTAACGCATGATTGCAATAATAATTTTATTTTATAATTTTAATATGGACGGATCCTTGGTTTAATAATTTATAAATAGATTAGGAATAGGTAAAATGTAATTTAATTTCCTTTTAAATGTAAAATATCTTTTATTTACAACATTTGCTTGTATTGCAAAGAAGCAAAAAGACAACGACACGCGGTGTTCCCAAGCGGTCACCCATCCAAGTACTAACCGCGCCCGACGTTGCTTAACTTCGGTGATCGGACGAGAACCGGTATTATTCAACGTGGTATGGTCGTTGCCTATGAGTTTATGCTCAAACGCGGGTTTTATACGTTCAGTACTTAGGCTCTGGTTAATATTCTTCAACGAGAGGTTCTACATATTGCTCTTCTTGGTTTTGTATAATCTTTGACGTTCAGTTGATGAAAGCTACTTTGAGTTGATCTATTGCTAAATGCTCATTTTTTAGCACAAAATAGTTTTTGGCGTTCCGCATTACTTAATACTTTTCGCTGCTTCAACTTAAATACTCAAAAAGTACTTAAACTCAAATAAAAAGACGGAACCCATGTTTTCTGAGATAACCCAGGTAAACTCAAATATTTTTTCAATTAAATTCAAAACATATTTATTATATATTATTACAAAACAGTAATGATGTTTATCATTTTATGTCAAATATGAAAGATTACAAAATAGATATCTAAATATGGATTATTTGTTGTTACAAAATAAAATAACAAATAATAGATCATATTATTGCATTAAAAGTCATTAATAATAGTTGTGACACTTTATTTGGACTTAATCTTGAACGTTTTTCATAGATTGACCTTGCCTTCTTTAGAAAATATCCGCTCACATCTGATTTAACAATTGTCTCCGATGAAAATCACTAAACAAGTAGGTAGTAATATATTTTACAATTTCGGAACTTTGAACCGTGCAATACAATGAGATGAGAGCGGGCGTAAATAACGACATTAATATCAATAACGGGCAAAGCATTGAGAGAGAGTTCTGAACATTCCAATAAGAGAGCTATGTGGGACAAGCTCAAAATTATCTTCAATCCATCCTCAAGTGAGTACTGTACGATGGGGAAGACAGAGAAAACTAGCATGTGACACGAATGGACTGCGAGAGACTTGCCGAATATCAAGGGATGTAAAACCAACGGGCACCAGACCATCAGGTTATGTGTATCAATAACAGCCCATTTCCATGAAATTCGGACATTTCCCCAAAGAGAGCAGTGAAAACAAATGGAGCATTGATAATTAAGAGTTATATTATAATCGACAATATTTTTATAACAACACTTTAAGAGGCGCTCTTCTTCTATGGACATATTATCGTCTTAAGAGGTTACGACGCACTCTAAAACATATTACGCATAATTTACGCACAACTGCTAATATTTTTTTCAGTTACAGATAATTTTCTGGTTTTAGATTTAGATTTTAATTTAAGATGATTTTCTCCAAAATAGGTTATTTTTTATATTTATACTGAGCAACATTTGCAGGAAAGATGATAAATTTGAAAACAATCAGTGAACGAACATATTTAATATAATTTAAGATAATTTAAGAAATGTTCTTCAACTTCAAGACCACTACAGTTCCGTTATTGTTGGAGTTTCGGAAACCTATTTATGAACTTGAAATGACATTTGTTTTCATGTAGGTAGACTATTCCCTCATTTCGGGTCAACGTGCATATGATGTTTTTTTAAATGCCTTGTCAACTAAACATATGGATATAAATATGACTAAGGGATAAAATTTGAAATACCCCGTACATTTAAGACAACTAACAAAAACAAAAGCCATTTGCAATGATTAAGTGCACCTATCATCCTTTATTAATCAGCAGCGAATAAAGTTCTTGTTTTACAGATAAAATAAAATCATACTTGTTTTACAGATCAGTCAACCAGTGAGAGATAATTGCCGATATTAGTACTCCGACAGCTGTTCTGTTATTGCTGTTATATTGACGACAAACGACAACAACCCGAGTGCCAAATAGTTTCAAAAACTTGCAGTATGAATGATGAAAGGAAATTCTACGTGAGAGAAGTGAAAATGCCGATATTAAACTTCGGTGGCAGAGGTAGACAAATTCTTGTTATGTTATGTTAAAATGTATATAACAGTTAAAAAAAACAAAATTTAATTAATTTACTTCTTATTAGAACAGTTTGTTGCGGCAGTTATACGTAAAATAAAATGTATTTGAAATGAAATTGAAGTGAGGAGAAAGACTACTGCTATCTAGAATCGTATATACAAACATTATTGATAGAATGAAAAAAATAAGAGATAAGGAGCTACATACCTTTAAGATATTAAATGTTAGTATTTTGGTGCGGTTTCTTTGAGAGATACTTCATTGCTGTAAAAGTGATCAAGTTTAGGGATATTGCTTATATCGATTTATGCATGCACGAAGAAAGGTGAATTCGAACGTGTTTCTGTGTAAACAATTATAGCGGATATAAAGCAGCTACGTTTAACATGGATCCATCAGCGGGACAGTCCGAGATATCACATCCAAGAGTAGCGAAAACAATTTTAGACACAAGTAATGCCATAATTATTAGTTTATTGAATCGTTGAAATTAACTGAATACCAGAAGATTTAACATAATTCTGTTTTACATATTATGTGATAATATTTTACAACAGGGTGTCCCGGAATAGGTGGGCATGCTCTCGGATTTGTACAGGGGACGTTAAAAAACATAACAGGTTTCTATAAAAAAAAAATTCTAGAAGCGGAGGTCCCCCTATACAGAGAGGCCTATACATACAGGCCTCTAAAGGAGCCACCTGGGAATCAATTTTTTTTAAATAACTTTTAGAATACTTCATTCATTTTAATTATTTTTATAAACAATGAACAGTGCTTTTAATAAGGACCCATGAAAATATTTTGAGCATTTTGGTTTGCCAGGGATGGACTAGGTGGAGCACAATAACAGTTTATTTTCTTACCCCTTCACAATGAAGACTCGAAAACAATGTATTTGGGTAGCTTTTAGTGCTCGGAATTTTAAAAAATCTGAAATTCGACTACTCGTTTAGTGGTTTATTCGAATACTCGAATATCTAACGAATAATCGAGTATTTCAATATTCGAGTGTTCGAATATGATGAATGATTTTAATGTGATGCTCAAAAACCATGTAAATATTCAGGATTTTTCACAGCCCCCCCTTTAAATTTTCAAATGGCATCATAGCATGTGTGGCACATCGAATTTCTTTATGCCTCAATTTTATGCGAATACACAACATAAATAATTGAACGCATTCTTTGTAAAATAAGGAAGTGCTTGTAGAGTGTGGATAATTTAATTTCTCAAAATATACAAAGTGCATATAAAGATGACTGTGAGAGGTCTTCTGAGGTTGATAATGTTGGCGTATTCGAGTATTCGATTATTACTAAACATAATTATTTGCTTTTTGAATATTTGAATATGACACTCGATATGATTCATATCGATCAACAGAACGGTTTTCGAGGAAAAAACATTTTTATTGAATACGGATTTACTGAACAATTTTGCATGTAGATTCACCATGAGCTCCTTCCAAACTTATGCACTCCCTAGCTGGAAGAAATGTAGATTGTTGCGTTCTCCACAATGCTTGAGCATTCGTTCTTATTTGGCCGCAATTAAAATTAATGCTTTCTAATAAGTTTTTCTTAGTGTCGACAGGATTGGCATACACTAAATTAATTAAACTTTTAACTATCCTCAAAAAAATCTAAAGGGTTGAAATCTGGCGATCTGGCCTAGCTACGGGTCCTCCTTCCTATCCAACGTTATCCGAATGGTGTTTATGGTGAGTCAAAATGAAAGCATGCGGATTTTGTTCTGCCCATAAATGCAAGTTATGGGAGTTTATTACTCTATGGTTAGAAAATCGAGCTTCGTCCGTAAACATAACTAAGTTTGCATTATTTCTGTGCATACGTAAAAGCCAGTTAGGAAATTCCATTCTTTGTAGAAGATTTTCACGAAGAAATGCATGAACCTTTTGAACGTGATAAGGATACAATTGCTGTTCTTTAACGGTCCTAAAAACTGTAGATTTTAGACAATGAAACCGGGCACTTATTAAAGAATCTGCTTCTACCGCATTTAAAATATCTTCATCAGCAACCGCCCCTGCGATTCACTTGGTTTCCACAATTGTGTTTGGCTTTGGCAAACGTTCCTAACATTATTTCTCCACTCTTTCAAAAGTTTTTCTATCCGGTACTCTTCGGTCTGGAAATCGTTCCGCGTAAAGCCTTTTGGCTTCTACGGCAGATGTGATGCCAAGTCCATACATTAAGTGCATGTCAGCATATTCCGAAAACGTAAACTCGATTACGGATAAAAATCGAATTTAAGAATAAGATAAATTTTAATAAGTTTGAAAAAGTAGCAAACTCTATCGCTAACGGACAGACAGTGACAAAACATTATTACCGTACTTTCGCACGTTAAAAACCGAACTAAAAAATATCGAAAAAACACAGCCCACCAATGCATGCATTAAAATCCGTATTCAATAAAAATATTTTTGCTCGAAACCCGTTCTGTTTATCGATATAAATCAAAGGTGTCGTTTTTTAAACTTAAGGTTAAAGCTACCTAAATACATTATTTTCGTGTCTTGATTGTAAAGGGCAAAAAAATTAACTATTATTATACTCCACCTAGTCCATCCCTGGCAGACCGAAATGTTAAAAATGTTTTCATCTGTCCTTTTTAAGAGCAATGATGTACTGTTCATTGCATGACAAAATAATTAAATTGCATGAAGGATTCTAAAAGTTATTTAAATAAAATCGATTTTCCTGATTTAGAGGCCGGTATCTTCGTAGGGGGGACCTCTGGACATTTGTTTATAGAAGCCTGTTCTGTTTTTAACGTCCCCTGACAAATCCGAGAGCATGCCTGCATATTCCGGGACATCCTGTATATAAAACAATATTATTTACGATATACGACAAGGAACATTGTGATCAAAATTTTTGATTTTTCATAAACATTATTGTTTTTGCATATTGTACACTCAGGCTCAAACCAATATTCTTACAATATATAAATCAGTATTTTGCATTATTGCCCTGTCTTAAAATATCTTACAATACATAAACAAAATGAAAAATTAAAAACAATGCCTGTTAAACGAACATTAAATATCTAATCTTTAGCTTCAGCTTATATTCAGTATGAGTTAATTTGCTCTGGCGCTTTGATTTTCATTGAAATATCACTTACAAGTCATTCTTTTTGGGCCTATTCCAGTTTCCCCAGCTTTGGCCATTGCACGATAATGCATTTATCCATGTTAGTAGCAAAAAAATTATATATATCTTTTTAAATATATGTATATACAGGTTGTTTTTTTATCTTGAAACGCTTAAATATTTCGGAAACGGAAAAAATGTTTCAAATAAGAAGTTAATATCTGGAAGGGGGAAGTTTATTCGTGTCAGAAAAACAACGCCTACTTCGACCTTGTCGGATAGGCAGGGGTCACCTTGAGAATTTCAAATGGTAACCACAACATTTTATTGGAGATTCGAATAGTACGTCAAAAACTTGGAATAATTTATCAAAAAACATTTTCTTCGATTTTAACAGGTGGCGCTGTAATCCATCAATTATCAATTTTTTTGCTTTAGATGTACTGAACTATTATTTTATTGAAACGCTTAAAATTTTAGTGTGACCAATAATATCTACTGTCAAGTCTAATGTCAGTGGAATATTCAGTCCGAAAATTGATTGATAATGAAAATCAAATATGTACCTCCAAATTAACAAAACATGTATTGGTTTATTGAGAGTATATCGGCCGGCTTCTCCGTATACAAAAATAACTTCATTTTTTTCTTGCACAGTTACTGCGCCCATATCAAAAATTATAGTAGCTTACTTAAATCAAATTAATAAATGTCGAAGTCATTTTTGACAATTTGAAATTTCTACGTATTTATCAGCGTTCCTACATTGAGTTGAGAGAAATTTTAGATGACTTTGACAGCTTCATATTCAAAATACATTTCGAAATGTCACGTATTGGCAATGCAAATTTTCAAACTATTAATGTTATACTTTTAGTGAACGAATAGATGTTTTGTTGATTTGGAGGTACATATTTGATTTTCATCATCAAACAATTTTCGGACTGAATGTTCCTCTGACATTAATAGATGCTATTGGTCACACTAAAATTTTCCGCGTTTCAATTAAATAATAGATAGTTCAGCAGATCTAAAGCAAAAAAAAGATAATTGATGAATTGCAGCGCCACCTGTCAAAATAGAAGAAAATGTTTGGGATAGATTATTCTCAGTTTTTGACGTACTATTTGAATCTCCAATAAAATGTTGTGGTTACCATTTGAAACTCTCAAGTTGGCCCCTGCAAGGTCGAAGAAGGCGTTGTTTTTCTGACACAAATATACTTCCCCCTCCCAGATATTAACTTCTTATTTGAAACGTTTTTTCCTCGGATCACTCGTTCCCGAAATATTTAAGCGTTTCAAGATTAAAAAACCACCCTGTATAATAAAAGCAGTTGGTAATGCCAGCGTTTTAGATGGGCTATCTGATACATTGCGTTAAATATACTGGCGATTCACAACCTTACGGACCCAGAGCAGGGGCGTGTACCTCAAAGTAAGTCGACTTGCTATTTAAGTTTTCTACTCAGAACCATGGTTAACGAGATACAGAGTGTTAAAGTTTTAAAAAATATTGGTATTTTATTTTTAACTCTTGCAGTTTATGAGATATTTTGCTCAAATTTTTAACGTAGGCTACTGTTTAGACCCTCTACCCGTAGGTAAGCTAACTGGTTGTGAAAATGTACACGGTGTTTTTTTCTAGTGTCATACCCCCTTTTACCCCGCGAAGTTTTTTCTGCTGCACTACTATCTTCGAACTGCTGTCCAATTTAAGATTTTTTTTAGCTCTTCCAGTTTTTTCGTATCTGCCTTCGTTGTCGAGTTAGTTTATTTTTTCATCGTAGGCTGTGCTAATATTTGCTGGAGACAGAGTTGGTTGTCAAATCAGACGTCTCGTAAATTACACGCATCAGTTATCTTGTAAATGTATCTAAGGGTTTTTTTCGTAGACCCAAGCAAATGGCTGGACAATTTTCATTCAATGAACGAGTTGATATACTTGCGAGCTTGATATTAGTATTGGGGTTTTGAGAAACTGCCGAAGAAGTGTGGTGGAGTACCGAAGAAGATTGCCAAATCGAGAAACGTTTTCTAATGTTGAACGGAACGCTCGGGAGACGGCTCTCTTTGGCAACGCAATAACGAAGGTCGCATTTACGCAGTGAACGCAAGAGGTGAGGAGCAAATTTTACGCCACATTGGAACCCCAAACCAGCAATTTAAGATACCACTGTCGCAGGGGCGGATCTAGCTATCAAGTCAAGGGGGTCATGTAGTACAAATTCAGTACTTTGTTGTCTATGAAATTAGAAAAATGATAGTTAGTCGATATCAACCCAGCACAAGGGCGGGAGTCATGACCTCCATGACAACCATGATGGCATGGTTGGTCATGACATAACATTGGTATCGTTGGATGGAGAATTGAAGATTAGAGTCATAACAGCATGAGTGAGGAAATTGGAGTAATTTTGACACAGAAAGCGAAATTTAAACATCAGACACTTAGGTGCAAGATTATCCCAAAATTTCATGTTTTTCGGCTCGTTTTTGCTAATTTCTCGGAAGCAAAATCAGCCAGAACGCTCATTTTTACATCATCCCAGAGAGAACAAAATGTCTCTTTTAGGCCCGGTTGCACAAAAGCAAGTTCAACGATGGTTCAACTGAACCG